AGGATGTGGGCGTCACTGACTGGCCAGCATTTACTGCCCATTCCCAGTTGGCGTTGAACTGAATGGCTTACTAGACCATTTCAGAAGGCAGCTGAGAGTCAGTCACGTTGCTGTGGATCTAGACTCACATGTAGTCCAGACAGACCCGGTGAGGATGGCATATTTCCTTCCCTGAAGGACATTAGTGACTAGTTTCTGCCCTACTGTGGACTGTTTTCTTCAGGGAATGAGAAAGAGATAGGTATTACAGGAGGGGAAAGTGTCTGGCACAGCTGTTACTTTTGGTGTAGATGGGGATGTGTCCCATGCAACTGAGAAGACAATATTGACAGCATGCAGGGTTAGTAGTATTGGAGGTTGGGGTGAATGAGATTAAGTGGGGAGATGTTGCGAGCAACTTTGGGAGTAACAGATCATAAGCCTTAGTGGGAGAGGAGTATAATAGCAGAGAGAATGAGAAATGGAGAGAAGACAGTAGACCTTACTCCAAAGGAATGACCTTTTTCCTACAAAGCTAGGCATTCCTCCAGATGACTGAAAAGTCCTTTATCCCAGGTGGAAACCTTATATCAAGCAGGGATGGTCTGGTGTCATGGCCTCCAACGGCTAGCCCTACGGCAACACAACATACTGCCGTGGCAAATCCACCAGCACAACCCACAAAGAATCCACTAACTTCCCCCTGTCTGCTATGTCCAGGGCAAATGTCAGGAACCAGACGCCACAGCTCCAGACTGACAGTGTTTATCCAAATAGACAACAGAGTTTTAAAAGATGGTGTGAGCGCAAGAAAGGCTAGTGAACATTGGGACAGACGTTGAGTGACGAATTGCTTCAGGTAACAGTAAGATGGGTTAGAAATTGGATGTTTGATATGCCATAGGGATGTAGTAAGTAATTAATAAGTTTGGTAAGATAGGGCGAGAGTAATCGTTAGGCCTCATGGCAACAAACCTTCCGAAAAACTCAATGCAACTTGGATTTAGATAAAAATTCTTAGATTCATCCCAATGCTTTCAGTTGGGGAAGGGACAAAAACTGCAGCAACATGAAGATCATAGTCACTAATAAATATGAACAGGAATTCGAGAGAAATCTCTTTTCACAGATAGGGATGAAAATGCAGATTTTGTTACCAAATAGTGTTGTTCAAGGCAAATAGCAGACAAAAACAGTGACAGGCAGCTTACACTGAGATACTTCACATTCTCACTGACAATAAATTTACAACGCTGGAAGTTTATTGTCACTGCTGGAGTTCAGAGAGTGGAACTTTTACTCCCTCTGACTGAGTTTATACAACGGGAGTTTCACTTTCACTGCTAGGAAATTTACTCCATGGAGGTTTTACAATCAGAAATGGGAAGTTTATACATCACTGACAGGGAAGTTACAATCTGGGAATTACTCCCATTAACTGAGTTAACAATCTGGCAGTTTTATTCTCAGTGACTGAGTTTACACTGTGGGTATTTTAATCTCACTGACAAGGAGTTTACACGTTTGGACTTTTGCTCTCATTCACCAAGTTAACACTACAGGGGTTTCACTCTCAATACCCAAATTTACACTCTGGCATTTAATCCTCATTGACACTAAGGTTATACTACGGGAGTATTACTGTCACTATCCGAAGTTTAACACTGGTAGTTTTACTCTCACGATCAGGAAGTTTACACTATGGGACTTTACTCTCTGGGTTTAAAGTGCAAAAAGTTTCCCATCACTGACAGGGATTTTAGATAAACTCTCACAGACTAAGTTTACATTGCAGCAATCTAAACCTTAGTGTCAGGGAATGTTCATTGTAGGAGTTTTGCACTCTGACTGACTTTACATGGTGGGAGTCTTATTCTCACTGATTCAGGTTACTGCAGGAGCTTTACTCATGCTTAACGAGTTCACACTGTGGAAGTTTAATTCTCACTATCTGAATTCACACTCTGGAAGATTAATTCTCATTGTCAAGAAGTTTACACTGTTTTGTTCTCAACGACTGAGTTTAAACTGTGGGGTTTTTTTTACTGTCACTAACTGAAATAACATTGCAGGACTTTTAGTCTCTCCGACAGGAATTTACACTGCAGGAGTTTTTATTTCATTAACATGAGTTTACACGGTAGGAACGTTACTCTCATGACTGAGATTACCCAGCAGAAATTTTTGTGCTGATTGAGGAGGAGTTTACACTGTAGAAGTTTAATTCACACTAACAGGGAGTATACATTGTGCTAATTTATTCCCTCACTGACCGGGAGCTTACACTGCAGAAGTTTCAATCTCAGTAACATTACACTGTGGAAATTTAACTCTCAATGATTGAGTTTACAATTGTGGGAGTTTTACTCTCACTGATTCAGTTTAAATTGTGGCAGCTTATTCTCTCACTGACAGAAGGTTTACACTGTTGGAGTTTATTCTCTCACTGACAGCGTTTACACTAATGGTGAGACAACAAGGTGCAGGGCTGGATGAACACAGCAGGCCAAGCAGCATCATAGGAGCAGAGAGGCTGACGTTTCGGGCCTAGACCCTTCATCAGAAAAGCTTTTCTGATGAAGG